ACTGTCGACACATCAATAAAACCCCAGCCCCTACGCGAACTGCGGAAAAAGTTGTAAAGGATAGTATGTCTCAGCACCTACCTGCAGGTTTTATAATAAAGTCTCAGCATGCGTCTATGAAAAACAGATCATGCATTACGTGTCATTTTGACTTCCTCAACCTCATTAACAGTAGTTATGAGGCAAGCAAATCAGTCCACGTACTGTACTTCAATATATCGAAGGCATTTGATACGGTTTTACATGATACATTATTCGAAGAGTTGAAGGCACTAAGTATTAGCAACCCTCTACTAAATTGACCAAAATCATTCCCCAGTGATCGCACTCAAACAAAAGAAATCATTTCGGTTCTGTCTACTCCCGTATACATCACAAGTGGAGTTGTGGAAGGTGGCGTTCTCGTTCCTCTTTTTTTCATTATTTACATTAACACTGTCTGCGACTGCCTTGCTACAGGTGACGTTTTTCTGCATGTCGACGACCCAAAAGTCGCTTACTTTTGTTGCGGTCACTAGCTAGGTGACACTATGACTGCTATTCGGCATGAACTAGAAAAGCTTTCTTCTTGGCGTGATGATACTCTTCTACGGTCCAACATCAATATATGCTGATGGACCTGCATTGGTAGCAGTAACCTTGACTTGATATTTGAAGTGTCTGGACAACAGTTACAAAAACTTGGTTCTGTCTCAGGCCTAGGGCTCAGATATTCCAGTGACCTGAATTTCTCTGAGCAGGCAGCGTACAGCGAAACTAAGTCACTCACACTCGTAGGATGCATCATTCCTAACTTTTATAGTGGTGAACCAAGGGTCCTACTCTACAAAGTATGCATCCATTCAATTCTGGAATACTGCTCATTTGTCATAGGCAGCTTTCGAGCGGACGACAAACTAAAAGTCGACGGGGGTTCAACGCCACTTTTCATTAGGAACACTGGGAGCTGACTGCAACCTTGACTACATCTCCAGACGCAACATGCTAGGACCAGAACCTCTCTGTAAGAGGCGACTTAGAATGAACCTTATACTTTATTATAAGCTACTTTGTAAGCGAACGCACTCGTGTGGTTCGGGAATTAAAATAGTTGTAACGCTTATTTACGACATAAGAAATCACGAACTATTGGCTAAAACTGAGTGTGAGGTGATTTCTTTCTCGACAAGTTCTCTAGCGTCGGGAATAGACTTCTTGAGGAGATACTTACTGCAGGTTTATTATCCTCCTTTTGCCGCTCCCTTAATAAGCTCCTCACAGATGATGAGTCTATCACTCGCTTAGTCACTACATGTACGTTCTGGGTGAATGAAAACATACTAGGACCTCTAAGCTTGTAAAGTAGGGTTATCACTAGTCCCAAGTACTTTTGACCCCAGTGAGCCCAAACATTATTGCACACGGTGTTTGACAGCTATTCCACTAGCTTAGGTTGCGTAATCAGTAAAGTACACATTAGAAAAGCATATGTCACCTCGATGTAGATTCAGTCTGTCCCGTACGTCTACAAATAAACACGGAATATCTAATAGCTTGTGCAAACTTTACGTAAGAAAACCACGAAGTCATTTTTATATGGACAAATTAAAGTGTACATACGGCTCGAGTGACTCTAAGAATACAGGAACTTCTCTCTTCCCAAGTTCGTCTTGTGTGGTATATCACTCTCCGGTTTCTGTTCGTGCTTTCCTTTTTTCTTCACTTTTCAGCTTAAGCTTGAAGAGAAAATCTCAGGCGTAATTCTGACCGAAGATGTCAACTTATTAAATATACTACTTTGGATGTGATACCAGAATTTATTGCATGGATCCGTCAACTAGTTTTCCACCACTGATCTCCAATTTTCTGAAAAGTTCCACAGCGAAATCACCGAGTTACCACCATCCTAGATGCCACCTTATGCGAAAACTCAACTACAATAACCGGTTCAAGGCTTCTGGATGGTCGTAGTGGCAGCGAAAATCTAAATATGAAAAATAAACTCACCTAGTGACCAGAAGTGAGACATGTTCACAAGCAAATCCATGCGACAAACTTCTCCACCACTTTATCCCATTCGACTCCGTCTGATGGAAGGCAATTAACAGTCAACGTATCTTCTTGGTAACGCTGCATGCTTCGGTGTGAACTCTACCTACAAAACTCCATTACCATTGAGTAAAAGTCATTCAGATGTTTATTTCTTTGTACTGCAACAACTAATTCTAATGGCTTATGTCTGCATTACTATGTAAAGTATCCATAAGTGTAGGAAATGCGTGGATTTATGTATTCACGTGGATTATAGGGTTATGTATTGCACCTCACTGGCACCAAAATACAACTAGGGCTAAAATAAACAGTCTAAACTGAATTAAATAAATAAATCCCCAGCTTGCTTCCGGATGCCTAGGGCATTTTAAGTTTTTTTTTAACGAACATGCATCCGAGCAGACTTGGACGCCATTTTTGCGCTCACTTGTGCTGGTTACCACGCACGTACTCCGAGTCCCTAGTTCAGCCTTACAAGCCAGATAAGTTGATTAAACTTTTCCCTCATTCATTATTATTACATTTACTTTAATTAAATACATAGCTCCTTCAAAAACGTTGCGTATCGGTTCTTTTGATTTGTGTTTTGTTATCAGTACTTACACGTTAGGTAAAGTACTGGTTAAGCAGGCACTAGAGCACATCAAGTTAAGTAGGGTTGATCAAACGTTACGGAATTTTAAGACGCATACCTACGGTTATACTAACAGCAACTGTTACCTGAAATCGATGAGGTGAATATTTTTTGCTCAATGATACTGCAAACATGTGAACTGGTATTAAAATAAAAGTTAATCTGACGATACACGGCACTGCACCACCAGGTCAATGACCTCTATCACATGTAACTCAAACGTCGAATATTGTGCGGTTTTGGTGCAGCTTTATCGGTAAAAAATAATGGCTAGCGGAAACGGCCAAAACTCATAAACAATTTGCATGTTCCGTGAAGTGATATTTTTCTGTTCTTTTCATAATCTGAGGTCACTTTTGATATCATGATAAACCTTGTTGCGATACCTTCAGTACCATTAAGGATAGCTCAACTAATGGAGATTTCTCCACCATTATCAGTTCGATGATGCCTGTAAACTGGCTTCCTTCATGTCAAACTCTCAACTTGAGAATAAAATATTTATTTATTTATTTATACTGCATTTGAAAAATCGTATCCCGTGAGGAAAACCAAATACTATATGATGATGACGGTAGCAATAAGTTGGATGGTGTTACGGGCATTTGTGATTGTGATGACGGTCAAGGCACGAATGTTAACAAAGTGCCTTACGTAATTAATGGAATGGTTCGTGAAAGGTCTACAACTCGGAAAGGGCTAAAAGAGCTGATGAAAGTGGCAAATCAATTAAGTATCATGCAATGCAATTAGACAAGTTGGTTAAAAGGAAATTAGTGTTCCCCAAAAAGATCGAGACATTTAAGTAAAATAACACCGGAAACTAATGGAAGTGAAGACAAATATGGTCACAGTAATAATGATGGGGGAAGGATATATAGGTTAAAATAACAAAGGGACAGGAGAAACCAATATGGGTTGGAAAATGCCATGGCCGTAGTAAACGCTGTGACTGCACATACTTCCTTTGAACACACAGACCAGGCTTCAGTTCATGAGTTGCTAAAGCCTGCGTTGTTTTAAGGAGTTGAAAGCAAAGAAAACCTGAGAAGTTTGAGCGAATTTTATGAACAATTAAAGTCATTGTCTGTGTTTGTTGAATGATGGAAGTCAATCAAATGTTTTAGGACAAACTTCTAACAGACTTTCTTCCACCCTCATGAAGTCAAGCTGGAGCATGTTCTTGTGTACATGTAGGAAGTATTCTGCCCCCGCCGCCAACGTACCTTGCTCTGCAAAACCAGGTGAACTACTAGATGCCGACGTACGGGTGCACAGCTCCAAAATAAATTCATTGATAGAAGTGTCTACTTTGAATATCATGCTGTTAAGGCAAAGTAGTAGCTTTTACCACTTTGTGCTGTGGAACTTCATAAGTTGTGCCTGGGCTTGGCTTCTATGTCATCTGTCTCACTTCTTCAGCAGCTTTGTCCGGTAAAAGCTAGCCTGTGCCGAAACGTTTTGTTTCGTAGAGTTATATTGAAGAAAGGTTCCATGCGGTAAACCGCATTTGTTGGTCAACAAACTAAAAACACGGCATGCGAAGAACAGTGACCCCCATGGACCCTACATTCAAGAGGTCCTGATTACAAGAGTTGAAGGACATCGGTACAGATACAGCAATATCAAGGACTTAAAATAATATGAGTGGGAAAAATTCAATAAACAAACGTGTAAATGCCTACCAGAAAATAACTGGAGACATTCTCAGTATACATATTCGTACGATGTACAGTTTTTATCAACTGCAGGTGCTGTGTGGAAGTTTAAATAGTGAATGTATCCACAAGCGAAACTTCCTACATTTTGAATCACGTCAGGCTCGCCACTTTTTCGACCCCTGGAATCTGACTCCAAATTTATGTACGCCCCCCGAAATGCCATTTCCCTTCTTATTTTCCCGACACTGCTATTCCACCGGCTCCAGAGAGTGTAAATGGTTGGGGAGAATGCGAAGCATAAATTAGGATGGTGTATTGATGAACAAGACCAAAATGTTCAGACCAGTACACTTAAACAAAATGTTGGACTAAGAGGTTTTAAATACATATCGAACGCTTGGGAAGCCAGCCTAACAACAAGACCCGCACCCTGAGAACTAGACGCGAGAGACTGAAAATTATCAGTTCCTTTCATTTGCACTATTTATGGACTTTGATTTTGAATGACTTCGAATTTGGTTTTAGTATATCTTCACTTTGTGATCTGATAACTAAAGCTTGACTATCAGTATTTGGCTATGACTACACAGTCCGTTTTTTTACTGTTTCTTTTGAATTATTTTCACTGCAGTAAAGTTCTGTGTTTTAAACAGGCAGATAATATCAGCTCGAGAGGCGTAGTTTCGGGATCCGCGTTACATTGGGATGACTTCATTTGATTCAAGTGGCTACTGTATGTTTGTAAAGATAATTGGTAATATAAAATTTAAAATCATGCCGTTGGGTTTCAGAGTATATATATCCAGCGTATGAATTATACACCTGCAAGGCATACAATTCAACATTGACTTCGGGATGTCTAGTAATACATTGCTAAAAGCTCAAAAAAGTGGTGATCTGATAATTGGAGCTGATAGTGTACGTGCTTGCTTCATCATATTTATCTGCTATTGTCCAGTAGGTGTACCTTTTTTGTCAAAGCATATTGTACATTTTTAAGTGTCACAACCCAGCTGCAAACACTGAGTGCATTTTGACATTTTTGAATAATTCCCGAAACCAACTTCAGGCGTAGCTTGAAATTCTTGGGCACGTCTCCAAAATGAAGTGTACTTATTAGGATCACAGTCTTCAGGAAGCTAACAAACAGTTGCAGATCTCGTATTCTACTACAGCATCCACGCATGCAAATTGTATCCCCGTACACTATTTACTGCCTGTCATGATGCTTTTTTTTCGGAACTTTGGGTGCACTGCAGAAAATTCGGCAAATATGGGTGCAAAGCAAACAATTTGGGTGCATTTTGACAATCTTGGCAACTTCAGGAGAAATTTTTGACAATTTAGGGAACGAGGATGCATTGTCTTCAGTCAGCTCAAGGTTTTTCTGCTGTTTTTCCCCAGAAATACCAAAGTGTTTGCCGGCTGGCAAGGTGTAGGGTTATTACTTGGTCACGCAAATGAAAAAGAAATGGCGAAGTAAAAACGGTTACAAAGTTGTGTTGTAATCCTCAGTCTGAAATGCTTCTACTCATGTTGCTATATGGTAATATTTTACGACCAAATGTCTTGTACTTAGGACAGTATGTTGACATTTCCGCAAGTCATGTGTCATGCTCTTGTTTATTTTCAGGATAATGCTTTCTGTTAATTACCTCATGTACTGTTATGAGTCGTTTCAACCTAAAGTTACACCCTTTTGTCCGAAATTCTACGTTAACTTGTCTCTGTTACAGGTTATAAGGTCTTCTTTTCAGCTAGTGTGCTTGCCAGCGCTGCAGTATTGCTAGCATTTTATATTTGTTCTGAGTTCATGCGTAAAAAACCACTCAACTTCTTCCTATTTGTAATTTCCTGGTGAAGCTAACTCATCCTACTTTGCATTTTGGTTTTTACAGATGAACCATGTATATTCTGATAATTTGAAAACTAATGATCCAGGTGCTAGTGATGAATTTAGTTCCAGAGTTACCATCCCTCCCAGTCATAGGTTAGAATCCGAGCACTTCGAGGATGAACCCCCTAGTCCTCTATCACTTCAACAAGATGGTGTATTTTCCCTAGTTCAAAGTCCACCCTTTGAAAATGATCAAGTGGATCTCATCTCACCTGAAAATATAACCTCGGAATTATCTGTTGACTCAAAAAACCAAACACTAGCAAGTCTCTCCGAGGCTGGTTCCGCTATTACTGACCAAACAACAGAACCTATCTGCAATACAGTTGTTCGGACTTCTGATCTACACAATATGAGTCGGTCAGAACAGGCGAATTCAATCTCCAGCGATATACCTACTTTACCTTGTCCAGGAACTCGCACAAGTTCTCAGAAAACCACCACAAAATGTATGATAAATGCAGAAATTTCCAAACCTGATGTTCCCTTGACAGTTACACAAACAAATTTGTCAGTTATTGCCTCCAGGAAAAGTGTTAAAGGTAATGGAAGATATATTTTTGTTTGTACCCTGCTTAGTTTTCTCTAAAGTGATACTTCAACTTTTCTCGATGATTTAATTATCGTCGGTATATCCTACCCTTAAAATGTTAGTAAAGTTCTATGTCAAGACTGTTCAGGAAGCACAGAACAAGTGCAGAAATTTACCGAGTTACAACTAAGCATTTCACTATTACAGAATGTCCGTAACTTATTTTGTGCGTTTTGTTAGGATGTAATTTAGTTGTTCAGTTCTTTTTAGATCCCGAAAGCCGGTTAGTTTTGAGGTTTAGGAAAATTGTGAGAAATTGGTTTTAGTGTCAAGGCCGAACTAAATTTGTACCACGATGTCAAATGGAACTGCTTTTCTAGCTTTCTCACACTTGTCTATGTGCTTTCAACCTAACTTTCCTACTTTGGTACCTAGGCGTAGAAGCAAGCTGTGGCAATGCCTTATTGAGTTTTAATCAGATGTGCATTAATTATTGGCATCACTAGGTTGAATTCATGTAAGTAGTCTAAATAACAACAATGGGATATTTTTGAGCTACCGTAGTGGCACTACCAGAGTGTTCATTATCGCAACTCACTAATCTAGATTGTTGATGGGATTTATTCAGTGAAGTTGATTAAACTTTGGGTCATATATCTTTGGTTTCTAGTCTGTTTAACTGATGCCTACTAAATGAGGTAGTCTATTGAAAAATTATTGCAAACCGATAGCAAGTTAGCGGTTTATGCAGTCGCTGAAAGATTGTCATACCATTTGTAGATACAAAACTCCTTTAGCGTTTTCGCTCAGAAAATTATATTTATCTTTATCGCTTTTCCAGTTATTTTAATATCACAACTGATAAACCATTCATCAGTTTTACTGGTTAGCACACACGTTCTCAGAGTCCCTAGCTCAGCCATAAAAGTCAGATAAGTTGAATGAACCTTTTCCCCAGTAATCACCTTAATCTTCATTCTTGAATACGTCGCTCCCTGGAATATATTTCCAAACAACTCAGTTTTTTTCATTTATGTTTCGTTATCAGTACTCACACGTTAGGTGAGAGATTGACTAAGCAGGTGCTAGAGCATGTCGAGTTAAGTAAGGCTGGTTAAGCATTATGTAAAAGCAATCCGTCCAGCCCTCTAAAGGTTCATACATTTAGTTATGGGCCACTGTAGGTAGGCTATTGTTCCTGTTGGGTGTTTCAGGCTTCGGTCGGTTGGCTGTATGAGCATATAATCTACTTATAGCCAGCTTTTTCAAATTCACTCAGCCACAGCTATGTGAATTACAATATTAGTGTATTGCAAAAAACAATGGAACCAAGAACCAATGGTAAACTCACTTCAATGTATTCTTTCGGCTTTGTTGGTTACGCCACGGGATAAGACTATAAAATCCTCTTTAAGGTGGGCTACAGCGTGAGTAACAATCCTCTAGGTAATTTGGAGTCTACCGAGTGATCACAATAAACAGTAAAATCATCTTGGTTGAAGTCAACTGACTGTCTCAATTTCAAAATTAACTAAATGAGCTATATGCAACGAGCAGTTCGACCTCTTATATTTAGTAAACCTTTGGCTTTAGTCAAAATTAAGAATTGCAGTTATTTCACTATAATGTTTAACCGAGTACGTCTTTTCAGCTAAACCTACTTTAAGGTGAGAAAAATTCAATAAATAGATGGGAAACAAACTGTCTTTAGTTCCTGATGATCTCATGAAAAGAAATGGTTCTTTTAATCGCTTGGCACCAGTTTGCTGTTGTAATAGATTTTTTATGTATACTTAGATCCCTTCGTTCAAATTAATACATCGACATAATGCACACAAATCTGCTTAATTTAGAAGTCTTAATACTTTATGGTCTTTCCATGGTCATTGATCATTCCTATTCCTTATTTGGGCTAGACCTTCTGAGCTTCTACCACGAGTGTTGAAGTGGGAAACAAATGTGTCTTCAAAATCAAAAATAGTGGTAGTAGCCTAAACATATCAATGATTCCAAAGGTTACGTAACTACTGGTTGAAATATCGTCCAGATACGAACCAACTTACTAGGGCAATCGTAGGATGAACCTGCGTATGCAGAAGGTCTATTCAATATGTCTCCTCGATAATACCTCCCCTATCAATGCATCTATGAGCAATGATGAGACCTGGAGAAATTATTTGTCGATGACAGGTTAATTTTTGCCTTCATTTTTGTGTTTTCCATTTTACAGAGCTCTATGGACAACCAAGTTGGTGGGGAGATGGCGATAATGACTATTCTTATCCACATACTTCATCTTTTGGAAACCAAGATACAGTAAAACCTGCTATCGCTTTCCGAAAACGCAGTAAGTTTATAAGTTGTGTCACTTACTAATCTGAACTCGGAAATGTAAGTTCCAGATTTTAACTCATGGAGCGTAACCATATGGAATGCTAACTTTGACAGTTTTCACAGCTTAAGTATTTTATAGGCAGTCAACTGTAATGCCATTAATACTTCTGTTAAGAAAGTAATGTGTTCATGCAGATCGTTCGCTATTTGAATAATTTCCAAAGTATTAATGTGGTGGATGGTATACCAGTTTAGTTAAAGTCAGCTGACCTAATTCGGCTGATCTGAATGAGTTACCCCTTTAAGATATATATATATATATATATATATATATATATATATATATATATATATATATATATATATATATATATACCCTTAAGTATGAAAAATGAAGTAACTTCTTGCTAACGGCAAATCAAGTGCTCAAGCAACAGCAAAGAACAATTGTAGGTGGTAGAATACTTTAGGAACTTTGTATAAGTCGTGGAAAGTGTATAAAATTCTTCTTCATGGTTGATAGTACAAACGGATGGATTAGTGGTTTAACAAAACAAGACTGCAAGAATGAGTACTTTTAGCTAAACACGACCATAAAAGTTGTAGTGCCTTCAACAACTCTTAGTGTTACTAAGTGGCTATAGAAATTTGCTCTTGCAAGCATTTGTTGGAGGCAATTTATCTGCTTTTACTGATAATGTTGTTAAAACAACACCTGTATTTGTTATGGTCATACTATTTGAATTATAAAACACAGGATTTTTATGTAAGGAAAGGAGATCATTCCAAGCAGCTGTAATCTACTGCCTTACCGATAGCTCCTACCTTGACGTGGTGGTCGGGCTTGCGTATCACAATGAACCAACAAACTATACCAGCTGGAACACTTGTTGTTTGAGGTTCCGTCATACTAGAAGGGTTTATTGGATAGTAGTACGACAGGAAGTAGTTATCGTTGGTTTAAATTGTTACACTATGATGGGGAGTCCGAGGGTGAAGTAATGCTGGCTGGACGGGGTTTGACAGTAGTGTAGGGCTGTGGCTCATTAGTTTAGTGAAATAACTTTCAACCAGTGGGTCACAGATTCGAACACAGCTCCATCTACAGAGGTTTGGGCAACCAGGTAGTATCATCAACCCTCACACATGTGTGGCTCATTGCCTACTGCGCGAACGTGCAAAAAGTTTCTGAGTGCATTTGACGACAGTCAGGACAAAAGATAGCCAGCAGTGCTAATCTGACGTTGCCTTCCCCATGGGAAGCGGAGCGTTTAGAAAATGTTGGCCTCTCTGCCCTGCTGTCTTTCATCGTGGATGGTGTAGGTTTTTCCTATTCAGCGTTCGAACATCCAGATCTCAAACCAATAATCCTTCAAACACTCTGTGACAGACCTCCAATAGATATTCATTGGGCTCTGTAGGCACACACACTTTTCCCTCTTTTGTGTATCCTGCAAAAGCGACTTCCATGGTGTGGGCAGCCTTGAAGTATCAACCGCCAGCATGCTTCCAGTAGTATCCAAAAGTAATCAGGCATAACCTACTCTCGTTACCTTTATCCCCTTTCTTACCTTCACTTCCTGATACCACTATTAAACCTTTTACAACTTCCTCATCCTCTCGCTCTGCCACCATTATCAACGATTCAAACCAGTTAAACACCTTTCCTAGTGTCCTGAAACCCCATACTGGTAACCGCCCAAACTGCGGTAGGTGGAACTGGCTTGCGAACCTGTGACATTGGTTTAAAGCCAATATCCTCAACCAATAAGCCTCAGTCACTAGCGGTGACCACCAGGGATGCCTGATATCACGGTTAAGATTTAATTCGGCTATAGGCATACTAATGTTCATAACCTTAGGTACGTGGGACTTCACAGGGATTGATCTACTCCGTGCAGGGCATTTGGTTAACTTGGAGTAGACAGATAAAACTGTCTTGCTAGGTAAAGAGGCTGACAAAATACAGGGTCTTCTCAACATATTGAGCCAAAATCTGAGTACGTTTAGCATGGGTTTTGCACATGTGAAATGTAAGATGCTGCTCCAGGACTTGTCTGCTGCGAGTACTCCCTGTTTAATGATCACAAGTGAAGTTGTCGGATTTGTCGACTTCTTCACTTACTTGGGAAGCTGCATCAGCCCAAACAAACCGCCCATTGGCAAAATGTCAGCTGGAATACAGGAGGCCGGTTCAGTATTTAGGAACTGGTGTCATTTCTGGAGCTGGCTGGCGAGTTATCTGAATACTTATCAAATCATTGAGTATACAACTCTGCTGTTGGTTGTATCCTGTTATTCAGCTGTGAGACATGACCGTTAAAAGAGGGTGATTTGAAAGGATCACAAGTTTCTAAACATAAATGTCTTCATTGTGGGCGTAAAGTGGAATCAGAATGTAGGGAATGTCGAGGTAAGGCTAAGGGTACTAGGCAAGGAAGGCAAGTCAGTTAATGAGGTTTTGAACCTTCAGCAGTTGAGATGGCTTGTATATGTTTCGCGCACAAAGAGCCACCGCCTACATCGACGTGCGATGCTAACAGAGCTTGGATTAAGTTGGAAGAGGGTTGATGGTGATCTGACTAAGATATAGCACCGGTCCATGAAGTCTGTTACTGCTGATCTGACCCATGTAGAGAGGTGTAAACTGCCTCGCTGGAGTCCTTCATCATCATCATCATTATCAACATAGGACCAGGCATTACTGCGTAACTGTCCGGGTTGCCACACCTCATATCAGCACATCAAGTAAAAAGGTAGTGAGGCGAAGGATGAAGATAAGTGAATGCAGTCAAAAGAAATATAAAGTACGAGAAGAAAGGAAAGAGGAGTGACAAAATGGTGAGATTCGGTATAGCGTTATTAAGATGAGGATAATGTGTGTATACATCTGTGCCACTGACATCGGTTCTCAGCCATGTCACCTAAGGTCTCCAACCACTGGTTCCTCTTGTCCCGTGGACCCCAACCACCTAGTCTGCATCGTCCTACATGGCTTAAACCAACAGTCGGAGACTTCATACATTGGTGCCATGTTTTAGTCTGGCCACCTCAGGCCTTTTTCCAGCCTGGACCCACCTCAGCCAACATTGTGTGACGAGGCAATCGGTGACTAGGCATACGTAGTAGGTGTCCCAACCATCTCAGTTAATGAAGGTTCGCAACCTCATCAACTGACTTACCTCTTCTTCCTAAAGCTCTACACCTAACTTCTGCATTACTCACATGGTGACAGCATGGAATACGTCCTATACTACGAAGGCAACGGTGGTCAAACACCTGAAGCCTTTTTGAATCCTCCACTTTCGCCCTCGGACCCCCATCATGGTGTAGCAATTTACATTATAACGGTAACTGCTTTTCGTCTAACCACTATCCAACAGATTTTTCCGGTATGGTATGACCTCGAGGGAACAAGCATTCCACCAGCATAGCTCGTTGGGTCATTGTGATATGCAAGCCCGACCACCACGTCAAGGTAGCAGCTATCGGTCGGGAGTCCTTGAGAGAGCATAAATCAATAGTTTGAGACTCTTGGTAACGTGGCTGAAAATCAGTCACAATGGCACAGATTTATTTATTCTTTGTCTTCTGAAGCTTGAACGTTCTCACTAATCTTCATTTTGTGTGTCGTTCTGAATACCTTTGTTTACTTTGATATCAGTCTTCTTTTGTTCACTTGTTGTTTGCACGATACTACTACTATGAAATGTGGCAATTTGGATTGATGCACTTGTGTGCGAGGTTCTAGTTTGATTTTGTTTGTCTGTTGTTGAAAAAGTCAATGCATCTTCTGTAGGTGTTTATTTGCATAAAAAAATACTAGGCAAAGTAGTTGTGTCATGAGTAGACTTACAACAACCGGTGCAAAGTATTACATTAAGCGTTGGTATTCCATTCTTCATCTGCGTATTGAATATCAAGATTTGTTTTTCGTCGGGAAACTTCTCATTCCTGTAGTAATGAGGGTTTAAAACACTTTTATTCTTCACACTTAGCCTTCGAAATTTGCCCTTAGAATTAGACATCACATTTCAGTTGTACTTCTCATTTCTGTACTTATCTGTCTTCTCATATTACCTCTTTGTGCGCTGTATTCAACTGACTAATCAATAGTATATCTACTTTCAAATCTGGTTCGGAATGGATTTCGAAAATTCATTTGAAAAATCAACGGAATAATCACTATGAAGTTTGTATATGAATAACAAGAATTTGATGGTAGGTTTGAGACGTTTTACATGATAGGCACGGGAAATGTGACTAAAAATCAATTAGTAATTTCTGTAGTTATGTGTTACTTGCGTCAGGTGTCAAACTGATCTTAGCTGCGATAAACGAAGGGGTAACTATTCTTCAAGCTATCTAACCGACGAAAAGTGACGAGACCTACGAAAGTGTGTCGCTATAGCGTACTGATGGTAGTTTGTGATTATATTATTGCAGTATAAATAACTGGTATGATCTAACTAGCTTAGGTTGAATAAGACGTTTATGATAAGTCAAATATCACGAGCAATATTCGATAAATAAACCAACCATAGCTGAGTATGATAGCAGGGGGGCGGGGGTCATGACTGTCATTTCACAGCATGATGTGACTCAAGTATGCAGAAAACAAGTAAATGCTGGAAATTTGGAGGGCTTAAGATTTGAGAGGAAATGACTAGTAATTTTATCTTCGTCATTAGGGTCAGTTTTCAGTTATGTTTCTCGTTACCGATACTTCTTGAATCCCGTGTACTTCCCTCTCTCATCAGTACTCGGGATCATAGGGGCAACTTTCTCTAAGTCAACTTGCCTTAGCCGCTGTCACTTGCCATCATCCTCAAAAACGGCAAGGAGGGATATTCATCACTCAGTTTTCGATTAGATTTTAAGCATTCGCTAGGCTTTCCCTGCCGTTTGTCTGAAAAGCAACAACTGTCTACAATGACATCGGCTTTAATCAGAATGTTGGTCACTGTCATCCTCTAATAGTTGTAGTAAAGATTGGAGGGTTTTGTTTAGTGGCTGAGGTGATGTTTTTGAGAAATGCTGAGCTGCAACCGTAATCTCTGTAGAAATCGAAGAAAAAAAAAGCGTACTATAAATGTAATAGGTTGAAACACACTTTATACATGGATCGTCACCTACAAATTTCCACTGGTAGGTAGAAGTAGGCTCACATTCCCTATGCTTCTAGTATGTAATTATAGAAAATTGGTGGAATTTTAAATCTACTTTTAAAGAAACCAGTTCCCTTTTCCATTATTATTTCAAAGTTCGAAGAACTTGTCACCTGTAATATTTTTATGATTTCCTTGAAGATATTATTTCCGCAATACTTTGAAGTATTCAATAAAAATTAACTGTAGATAAACTCATTTGGTTTTCTGCGCATATTTTTGATACAGAATATTGACAGATACTCATCGCAAGATGTATTCAGTAGTTTTCTTCATACGCTTTTATTTGTGACATGTTTTTCTATTTCTATCCCATCTTATATGATTTTGTTCGAGTTTAAATGGATCATTTTTAGATAAAGCAGCATCCAACATCCTTCATGTGCAATTTCTTCCCTTTTTTGTTCTATTGTGATTTGCTAGTGTATATTTTACACCTTTTGTCTCAGCATTTCGTTTAAAATGATTTTCGCCCACTTGTACATTAAGTAGTACCAACATCTTGTTATCTAATCGCCTAATAAATTCTAACGCTGATGCATGCCGTCCCACAAACAAATTCGCAACGATAGAAACAGAGAATTTGGTCGCAATTTTTAAAATTGGAAAGTAGATCAATAAACACTTGAAGCCTATCACTGGTTGTATGTATGGGATAAATAATAAGTTCATAGCACTTAGGGTATCAACCAAATTACCTTTTCTCAGATTATAAGATATGCCTCGAATTAGTTAAACTGCAGTTCATTAGGAGTCTCTATTTATCTTTTTTCTGTAGAACAGTGTGTTTTGAAAAATTAAATTTGCCATAGGAAGAATGATCACTGGGTTAACTGTTGTTTCACTAATTAAAACCTTTAAACTTCAGTGGAAAATAATTGGAAAACAGCATATTATTATATCGGAACAATAAATATTCTAGAACCCCTGAAATTAATCAAAGTGGAGAATATAAGTTACTCGTCATCGATTCCATAGCATGAGTAGAACGTTAGATTTTTTCGCTCTACTTTTGAGATGCATTGTTACACAAGTGAAACGTATTTTTTTAACTGGTGCATTGACTGAATTGACTATACTCGCTGACCGAAAATAACTTTAGAAAATTATTGGAAAGATTGGAATGAAAGTGTGTTCAAATCTTGGACCACTGTTGCGTGTTTTGTTTTCACTCAATAATACATGCGGTTCCAAAATTTGAATTTGGGACGTACACTTTTCACTCACAGCTCATAACACTCATTGTCATCTTTTTTAGCTGCCAGTCTTATTTTACTTTTTTTTAGTCCTTTATTTCTCGAAAAAAAATCGAAATCCATTCCGCAACCTTATGCACATTCGGGCAGTAGGCAATGAGCCACACGTATTGTGTTAGGACTAACGACACTATTTGGCTGCCCAAACCACAGTAGGTGGAGCAGTGCTTGAACCCCGTGACTCACTGGTCGAAAATCAACTCCCTAAACCAATGTGCCACAATCCCAACTCCTTCCTCTCTACTCGGGGTGCATGTATAATTGCCATGTAAAAGGTTTTTTAGTTATCTCTAATGAGTATGAGCGTGATTGAGTTAACTTTTTCCTCGTCGAAATCCTTACAATGTTATGAACTTAGAGATTGAAAATTCTAATAGCTATATGTCATCAACGCCTGATGTTTACAACTCATGACTGAGTTTTCGTAGCTTTGGGCATCACTATGTTTGATAATTTCCCATAAATGCATGAGCGAGTATAGCAGGCGTAAATCATTCTGGTTATAATAGCAGCTTACTATTTCGATCTAAACGCCTTCGATAACATTCGTGTGCACTTCATTTTGGTCAAGAATGAAGGACTTACTGTGGCTATTCGGTACTATAGCAGTGATGCAAAGTGAAGTGGTATGCTGGAAATAAAATATAAATGATCTGTGACATTTATCAAACTACTTGGAAAAAAGATTTGACTATTAGGTCTCTTACTTTACTACATTAGTTGGTAGTTTTTTCATTGTCCCATAGTGGATATCTATGCACAGAGACCTCCGATTCTTGCTCCAGATGTCGAATAAAGTCTTCAGTCTCATATTTACGGAAGTAGGTGGTAAGTGTTAATCAATTTTGTCACTTCCACTTAATTTCATTTAAGAGATTTCAAGTATCTCAATCATGAACTTGTCAAGAAACTGTCACTAGGTCTCGCACTCAATCATGTACCCATTGTTTTTGTTTCAAGGTGAGGAAACTGAAGTAAACTCGACGTCTAACAAAACGTCTACCCGACCTGCTGCTGAGGCCTTCGTTATAGAATTTGGTGCTTCCAAGCCTCGTTCAGAACGGCCTGCGTCGTTGTCCGGAAGCCTCAGTCAATGTATTCCTCCCAAACTTCGTCAAGGCTTGGATGAAAGAGAAAGAAAGAAACGAGAGAAACAGATGGAGTTTCGGAGACAATCATCATCTGGGACAATGAATAAGGTAAGTGGGATGAGGTCCTTTTCCATAGGTCTCTTTAGATTTTTCACATCATCTGAAAGAGGAAAGTGGGGCATTTCACTGCAATGACCGTTTTATGCGCAATAAACAAATCACTTTTAATGATCTAACTTTCAAGCACCTGATTTAGTTATCTGAACGTAGCCGCCATATTGTCGCAGTAACCAAGCTCATAGTGTTTAGTTCAAAGTGTTTTCACCACACTACTTGTGTCTTGAGATATCAACCATGAAGTGAAGGTCAGCTGGAGAATAGTAAGAACGAAATCAGCTAACCCCTAACTTGAAGGTAAATTCATAAAATTAACTGCACTGGGTTACAAAACAAGGCCGTGTTTTTTGCTAATGTCCAGGATGTCTAACCATTCTATGTCGTTTTGTTGGTTGGAATGAGAAAAGGTTGACTTCGAAAATAAGATATTAACTTTATCCATGAAGTATTGGTTTCTGTATTAAGGTATTATAAGACACAGAACCAGTATGATAAAACCTAAATATAATGTTTGCGAAAGTTATATTTGATGAACGTCGCGCAAATATACTCTGAGACCTATGTTCACGCTCTTAGATCGAAAAAGCTTCAAATACTTATTTACTTACCTTGAGAAGTAACCTTTCACAACGTAGACAAGCCGGAAGTACCGATCAGCTACACACTTACAACCACACTAGAGTCCCTTATCATTACCGAACTTATTTTTTACTAAATTTTATTCACTCCCCCATATACTTTACACTATAACCGCTTCCTGCTGCCTTTGCTAACATCATTAGGGATTTGAAATCATGTCTTCTGATAGCTCCCAATGTCTAAGTTGTAAGAGAGCTGTCTCGCTAGCTGGAGCTCTAGAATCATTCGGGTGCCAATTTATACTATCCTCTGTTTCTTTCTTCATATTTGCCAATCATTATAGACTCTACAACCAAGTAGTTGAGAGTGACTTGTCAACTATGTTTCGTTGTTTTCTTTTTTTGCTCTGCTATCAGCTTTGAGTGTTTATTTTTACCCTTGGATAAGGTTTTTTTAAATATGACATTTACAATATACATTTTGTATAATAATGTATGTTTGCTTACACAGTCACTGAAACTGAGTTTATTATGGGGTAAATGCATTGTTAACATAAGAATGTGATTATGTGAGTAATTAGTGTATGACTAATGAATCCATGAATGCTGGTGTGAACCGTGTAGAGATGTATAAACTACCTGCCTGGGGTTCCCAAGACGACACGAATCGATAGTTGGAGACGTAGTTGAAAATCGCTAGCAATAGCGCAGATGTATTCACGTTTTGACTTCTGAAGTTTGAATATTTTCACAAATCTTCATTTTGAAATTGTATCTAGTTCCACAGACCTTTGTCAACTTTGATGTCAGTCTTCTATTATCCAGTCGTTTGCACGATGGTACTACTATAAAATATGACAATTTGGATTGATGCACTTGTGTGCGAGGTCCTACTTTGAGTTTCTTTGCAAACGGAGACTAATTTGACTGCTTAGTAAGTGGTTTTTAGAGCAGTTCCTATTCTTTTGTTCACCCAGTTCATCTGTTCGTCCTTATATTTAGACGGGGAAGCGCAAATTTATTTTATGGGTCATCGAGTCCAGTTGATTTTACTGTTCCTCTTTTCGCTAAACCTCTGAGGGTAACTGTTTTCGTTGAGACATCTTTCGATAAACTGAATTTCTTCATTCATTCCGTTAATTGCAATCCTGTTGCTAATCAGCTTCCGTCTTGACTTAAATGTTGTACATAGGTACCAAGTTTTCGTTAGAATATCTACTTTTTTTGTTAAAGAGTTTGTTAACTTGCAAAGAAGTCATTTTATTTCAATAACTATATCCTCCTTATAAATGTTTCTGCATATGCTGATGGAAAGTGCAACTGTTTTAATTGTGGTTGTGTTTCTTGAAATCCTTAGCGGAGATACTCTACTATAGATTATTTTCAGGATGATAGAAGTTATTAATGGTGAATAGTGGCTAACATTGAAATCTAGGACGTGCGTTTCGTCCTATTTGGAACTTATCAGCTGGATGTACATGCCTCCTGGTGGGTGATGTTGTTCCCACCGGGACTTGCACTCGGGACCGATCACTTCAAACACTAGAGTGTTATCCGCTAGACCACCCGATGGGAACAACATCACTCACTGAGGGTACAAGTACATCCAGCTGATGAGTGAGTCCCAAATAGAAAGAAATGGGCCTCTTGGATTCCACTGCTAGCCCCTATCCGTCATTGATATACAGTTGAAACACAGGCAATATTGAGGCATCTGCACAGGAGCGCATATGTCAATAAAGACCGATCAATTTGGTCCAATCAACGACGGGATAATACAAGCAACAACAGTAATAAATATGATAGAAGCTACTTTATTAGTAGGTGACACCTTTGAACACTGTTCATTAAGGCTGAAAGCATATCCATCACCGATTTCATTTTACAGCACTCAGCTAACAGTTGATACAGTTCCAAAAGACTCATTTCATACAATTTATAAAAGATAAGGGAATCCTTGAGAAAAAATACATCTACTTTACCAAGGCAAACCATGATTGTGTTTCTGAAAGCCAATTTTTCATTCACTATCCTAGCTTACTTTCTAATAATTCATTTCTTAAAACTTAATCGTTTTACTTGTTTTTCCAGTACCTTTGTTAATAACTCATATTTTTCTAATATAAACCCACGCCCAACCAACTTTTGCTACTATTAAATGGTTAAGTAGATCTTAAATAGCTCTTATTGTTATATTATTTTTCTGAACATAATCTCCGAAGAATTATACTTTTGTTGCTGGCGTTATCTGAGATGCACGTGATTTGGCAGACTTATTAGATGATGATTGAGGGCGAGACGAAAATCTTATTCGTGGCAAGATTCTAACTCCTGGCCTCTAAATTACCGACCTGGTCCTCTGCCTGCTAAACTACGAAACCCTTTCTGATTAAATTGAAGTGAAGAACTGGTTGACAACTGGATCTCATGAATCAGCTAGTAGAGCATTGGGGTGGCTATCCAGAGGTCAGCAGTTCAAATCCTGCCTCAACTCAGGTTTACATTTCACGTTCACTCTGTGTCAGTTATGTTTTTACGAACTGCGTAAACATTGTTTATCATCCAATATAGACATTAATTGAGACTGAGTTTACCGAAATCAAATTTCATGATTTCAACCTAACTCATATACTCAGATTAGTCCTCACATAGTTGATATAGCTCATAGAGCATGGTATCAACATATGCTTAGTTGTATTTCATTTCATTTCGCGCTCCGTTGTAAGAATGTCTGTCTTACCATACCCGTTTGAGAAGTTGGTTACTTTTAATCAAATAAATTTCAGTGTTTTTGTAAAATGAAAGACACTTTATATTCCTGAAATGTATTTATCAAGCATTGTACCATGTAGTATATGGATCGACAAAGTGTATTATTGAGTTCTCTTATGTCTCAGCTTCGTAGGAATTTAGTGGTGATAGAAAATAAATCGCCAGATAAATAAGTGTTAGAACCTCATACAGAAACTCATTATGTAGAATTGTCATGCTTGTGAACACCCCAGAAAAAACATTAAAGTAGTCATGGTGATCACTTGTGTTGAATAAAAAGATCATATTTCACATATAAAAGAAAGCGAACACACAAACCTGAGATATTTATAGATGTCATGACAATTTCTACATTGTTCAGATTAATACATTTCCTGAGTTGGTGTTTTGTTCTGCAAACGTTTCATTCTCAAACACAATATTATCACAGTGCAATACAGCTTGTTTGCTGGGTTATATTGATGGCACCACCTAGCACAATATTGAAATATTTGCTAGCCGAAACCCCATATCAGTCTGAACACTTACATCGTGACCCATAGGCATGGATAAAGCATCGAACTGAAGTGTGAACTTTTTTTAGGAGGACGGTATTAACTCTACAGCGTTTTAGTTGAAAACTGCTGTGTCTGAAAAAGGTTTTCATCTTTTTATTTCCCTCATGATGACTGAGAACTAGTTAACTGATGAATTAATGTTCTCATTTGTAAAACAGTCTGTTAATCTCTCATCAAGTTAAAAAATAATCAGACAGTCCATACTAATCTGCTCATTTATTTGTCATTCCTGTGTTCTAGAATATAGATCTGAGTAGTGAATTTAAATGTCTTCGTTTTTCTATCCTTTTGCTATTTTTATTTATATCATTCCCAGAATTAATTGTATTTTGGTTTTTCTCTTTCTGTCTATATTGTATAATCTTTTCAAACATATAACACTTTATTATTCAATTTAATCGGGTTTTAATTGTTTTTCTTAAGGGTGATAATGAAATAATTTTACAGTTTATATACTTTTTTGATCATCAACTACTACAATCAACCACTTTATCTTTCAATATTGAACTTCCATTTCTCTTAAGATTGAGTGGTAAGAACCAGCAGATTAACATTTCATAGCTTCCGTTTTCCAGGTCGAGTAATTTTTGATATCAAGTTTGTTACTGTTGATGTAGAGTGATCAGAAAATCTTAGGAATATTACAGCACAAGCAACTCAGCAACTTCATACAAGTTTCTGTATTAAGTTACATTAGTTGCACTTTTTGTATTAACTCTAGTGATACTACCTGTCTGCTCAAATCTAGGTTAGTCGAGTGGTGTTTCAGTCTGTAACTCACTGTTTGAAAGTTGACAGCCTATGTTACTGACCAATATGCTTGTAGATCACGATTTACATTTACATTTGTTGCCTTGTTTGTCTTTTTTTGCTTGAGCTGAAAATTCTGTTTCATTGCTTTGTCAATCACACAAACTGCATCATTTCTGACCTGAAAGATATGAAGTCACACTAATTCACTGTCAAGTGAATCTTGACAGTTTGTATTATCCTTAGGTAGTCTCTGAACACACTTGTCATGGTTATATGAATGAAAGTAGTGTAAGAGTCATCGTTTGTTGTTGTCTCATAAAATGACATTTTA